GTCGAAGGGGGTGAAAGAACGTGTTCCAGGTTCTGATTCGCATGTTGTAGTGTTGTTTTCGGGAGGGATCATTATGTGGGTGGGGTTATTGTCGGTTTGTGTTCGGAGAACTTGGCTGATGGTCGCTTGTCAGTATTTTGTATTTGGCTTTAATGTAGACTGGCTTTGGCAGGATTTAAAGATATTGATCAGAAATTAGCAGAATCATGTTGATCAGAAATTTGTGATTCTGGTTTGTGGACTCAAAAAAAAAAAATTAACTGACAGCCATGTTGACAGAAAAAATGGCAGATTACTGCGTAGTTTGCAGGATCAGGGTGAGAAGGAACGTGGTGAACAGGATCGCCATATAATGAATGTTGGTGGTGTGTGTACAAAGTTGATAGAAAGATTCCCTATGAATCTTTTCTCATGGTCGACTTTGGTTATGGTGTACAATAATAGTTTCTAAACTGCTCGGCTGTTTCCGCCAAGACTGTCAACTTCTTTTAGTGCCAATGCGCGATCGGCTAGAAGCTAAATAATTTAACCGGATTGGACGGCCTTTTTCATGCAGCGAATGAAACGCTTTATTTAATTATTAATTCATAACAATTGCCTCTATTTCATTTTGCCATGGCTATTTATACTTAAATTTTGTAAAATTATCTTATTGTTAGCGTAAGCATAAAATGTTGACCGAATAATTTAATTAGGCCGCGTAGCATCTTATTGCATTACGAAATGCAATTCTCAGCTAGTTGAAGTCATAGCTATGATGACATATTTCTTCTTTTTCTGTTGGCAAATGAATTACGCTGATTTTGCATAATTCTGTCACACCTCAAAGTGGATGCATATTAATCACGATACGCGATCATACTACAATGGCAATAGAACGTTAAACAAAAGATTGCTTACGAATCTTTTTTACAGCTACCTACGGTTGTACTGTAAAAAAATAAACTCTTAAATGCTGCTCGGCTGTCCACCACAAGACTATACTCTTAATAGTGCCAAATTAAATTCGGCAAAAGAGTGTCCCTATTTAATGAATTCAATTGGTACTCTTATGTAAATTCGCTTCTTAATTCCCATTGTCTTTGACATAGCTCTTATGTATATTGTAACATTTGAAGTACCATAAGTATTGAATTAAATTATATTATTTAGCCGCATATATACGTTTATATATTTTGTCATTGAAGAGCTGTATTACTATCATCAAATATACATTGGGAGGAGATAACCTTCAGATTAGGAGTAGGCTCATCTGATAACCAGGTTCTCCACAAGAAAATTTATCTTTTTCTGTGGACCCGAATTTAGCTACACAGTATATACGCTGTTCATTTTGGGCGCTTTCCGAGTGTCACTACGATGGCGAAATATTTCCTTTTAGAGACTTCATTTTCTTATTATTCATGTGTTTTATTTGTTTACATCAAGATGTGGACACTTATAAAAGACAAAAAGTTACATACTTTAATGGCAAATTTTTTTCGTGCTATATTATATTAATTATCTTGTTGACTTGCGCTCGGAGAAACGAAGAAAAATAATATTTTTGTGTTTTTAATCTTCACTAACGGGAAGGGAGTGCGACTTGATGCGACGAGTGATCATCATCAGACAGAGAACTAAAAGACCTTTGCGTCCACTCATGTCGATCGCTGGCCTTTGAAGCAAGATTGAAAACTGGATGTCTCACAAGCTACGCCCAGGAAAAAACTTGGCATCAAAACGGAAGTTTCAGTTGAAACCAAATGTTTTCAGCTGAAATGTCCATAACCCGTCCTTAGTCGTCGTCTGTTTAATCCTAACGCTGCCTAGTGCTACTTAAACCTAACTTACATTCTAGCATCACCTACCCGAAGGAAAGATGTGTGAAGGCACAACGAGTGTACGACTTGGATATATGCATACTATCATTTATACTTAGTTACTTTGAACAAACGTATAAGACTATGCTTATTTGTCTCGTCAGCATACATAGATAATAAATCCATTATATATAGATTCTTCCAACAGAGTATGTTTAATTTTACCTAACATTATCCAACGGGCGCACTAGCCATATGCGGAAGGCACACTTCTTCTTGTGTCTAACATTGACTAAGCATCAGAATCTATAAACTTCTTTAAAAGCATTTTTGTACCTAACGTAGGTCAGTATTAAAGAAACAAGCGCTGTTACACATATACATATACTATTATGTGTAAGTATATCAATACCCAGAAAATATACATTATTACATTCTCTTATTGAAATTATAGATCACGGCATGGAAAAATACTCGCACAACATTTTCTTTGGTTAACAATGCGAAATTGCTGAGTATCACTGCTTTTTTCCATATCAACTTCCGGCCTGAAAACAAGTCTTCCGTCCGTACACTGGCACAATGGCAATTGCGGCTGGTGGTTGAACTGTACATTACAGATATCACAAACGCTTTAGCCGCAAAGTCCATTCCATAACCACGAAGCACACTTACATCCGTTCAACATTCGACCATAATATATAACCGCGAAAATGTCTGCCAACAACTACTGGCTTTTCCTCCTTTTTCTCGTGATAATAAGTTTGTGGGGATGATATTAGTTTTAAGATGGAGGTAACCCTGTTAAGATATTTATTTATTTATTTATTTATTTATTTATTTATTTATTTATTTATATATATATATATATTTTTTTTTTTTTTTTTTTTTTTTATTTATTTATTTATTTAATATGTTTACAATGTAAAAAAGTTGGTAAGCTGGCATAATGCTGGCATACTTGAAATGAGTTATTAAATATTTTAAATAAAAGTACGACTTTCTCACTAAAAATATAGTCAATTACGTCTATGTTCGGATGCGGAAATTGGCAATGGTCAACTCAACAATAGATAGAAATACCTTAGGCGCAAACAATTTTGTGAGTTCGGTTTAGGTTTGTAAAACAAATATTCCAGTCGCCATAACATTATTAAGGTTCTCTCGAATGATTGGTACGTGGTGAGGTGCGTGGATGATTTGGAAATAAATCGGATTGCGTATAAAGAAAAATAGCGGTTGTCACTACACTGTTGTTTGGGGCTTCATCTCTGATTGAGGGTAAGAACCGAGAAATTTTACATGCGGTTGGTTCTTTTTTATAGAAATGAACTTTTTAACCGAGGCACCTTTCCAGCATTGCCAGCATTGCCTATACATCCTCTTTCTCTAGTCTTCCAGACCTCTAGCCATTTCCTTTTCATACATTAAATTTAAATATCATAATGCTCAAAGTGTTAAATTCTAACTGGTGTAAGTAACTACCATATCATTTGACGTATTTGAGGCCCTTCCAGAAATAGAAAATTTCATATGGGAATGACAAGCTCATTCTTTGCACTCAATAGCTGCGGATCAACAACGACGCCGCCGGCTTTCGCTTTAGCTGCAAAAGCAGACGTAGCTGATAATGTGGATGTAGAATTTAATTACAGTAATTACTCCTTAGAGAAACGTAAGCTATTCTTATAAACAGCGCAGAAAGTGACCTTAATCATAAGCCATTGTGAACCATTGTGATGTTATGACTAAGGAGCTGTTGAGTACCTCGAGCTATAGTCACTAACAGATTGACAAATTCCTGAGCAAAGCTGACTAAAAAGCGGCGAGTGTGCATGTAACATTATCAAAATTAATGGAAGAGATTTGCAGGTCCAAATCGTAAAATCGGTAAAATTATACTGTAATTTTATACAGATGCAGCCTTGGTTTAGATAAGGTGATTCCTCTACCTATTGTAAAAAAGAAGCTTTAAAAATAGGTATGAACCCAGGGAGAAGTGCCATCTTACCAGGGGTAAAATGCTTGACCAACGGAAAGCCAGATAGGACAAGTTGGAGAAAAGAAAGACACATTATTTGATGCGAAATATAGGAGAATGACTTTTACAGAGACAGGAGGAAGTCGATATCTATTTATGACAACTACTCCCATGGCTCCTTTAAGGGTTATCTACACTGTGGGACTTCAATAAGGAATATGAAGTGAAAACAGTTAAAATCGAAAAACTCGTTTAACGGAAGAATGTGCATATATGACACAACTTGGGTCATTTTTAAAAATTTGGAAGAATGGCTCTATGTTTTGTTAAGCATTGACGTTTGAAAGTTGAAAAATTCTACTACTCAATAAGTATACAGCTAAGCCAGGCTGTACCCGATACCTTGTTTTGCAAGTTGTGCTAACTAATTTCCATTTGTTTATAAGCGTTTCGTAAGTTTAGTTGAGACCTCACGTTCGTCTAAATTAGGATAAGCAAAACTATGTAAGAATTTTGATAATATAGTCTGATTTGAGCTTTCCAACGTATAGTAAAGAGAATTTTATATTCTTATTTATGTTATTAAATCTTTTAATTTTTTATATGTTTTAGAGTTGTCAGTTCTAAAACGTATATTTAGGATTTTGTTTAGTGATTTCCCAACTGATACTACGTTTTTAACTGAATTGCTTCAACATCGGATAATAAATAAATATTTTCCACTAAATTTGTGAAATAAAAAAATGGCTTCATATTTGTTTCGTAATTTGTAAAGCTTCTCTTTGGAAAGCGATAAGGTAGTTTATTCTGTGTTTTGCTGAGACCGCGTTGAATAACACTTCTATTTATTAAAGTAACTTTGTGCCTATGCGAATTTCAAGTAATGAAAACCAGTTATGTGCATGCTTTCATCAACCTTAACGACATTTTCCTATGACTTTTCATTAGCTTTTATATTTCAAAATTCCAACCACACATAGCAAGAAACATCCCCTTAAAATGTGTCAAAAGCTATTGTTAAAATATAGCTTTCAATGCCTTAGCAATATTCCTTCTCTGTCATAATAACGGAATTGATGCTACATTTACACGTTGTTAGTTGTGCATTTGGCCCTTTATGTATACTGTATGAAAGTGCATATTGTGAAATTGCTATTCACACATACGTACACCAGCAATTAGTCAATACGAATCGAAGAACTATTTTCACTTAAAAAGGCAGAACTGTAAATTACCTTTTCACGAAAAATATATTAAAAAATTTGTTGTTTCCAAACACTAAGTTTTAAATACTCGGTTGCTATTTATTGTTAATACACGTTAATTTGTTCTTTAATAAATATGCTGTGTTTTTGCTGTTAAATCGTACATATTTGTAACAGCTACGTTTTAAAGGAAAACGAGTTTTAATTTCACTGTCTGGTACATGAAATTAATTAAAAACAAATAAAAATAAAGGGAAATTGAAAAAACAAAGAACGTCAAATAGTGTGTGTGTAAGCATGACGTATGAAGAAACTTGTGCGAGTGCATGAATTTGGTATTCTTAAAATACAATGGAAAATTTAAGAATATGTGCCACTGTTTGTCTAGTCATATATATAGGAAAATATCCTAGCAATCACTGACCTTCAAATTGATAGTAACACCGTAAGAGCAGACGACGTAAAGTTACGTGCGAGAAAACTCGCTAAGTTACAATCAAAATAAGTTTGGGAAAAAATTTGCTGGCTGCTGCCAATCTCTATACTAAACACACGAAAAAGAAAAGGAATATAAATTCTTGACAAATATACGCAATCTTCACGATCCGTTTATGTTTAGAAACAAGTCAAGCATGGTTTCTCGCACTAACAGAATCACTTTTTTTCATTAAGTATAAATATTGGAAAGATGGAACAGCAATAGACAAATATAAATTCTTAAAGAAAACTCATGAAATCAACATAGATTCATTCAAAATAATCCCTTACCTTACCTTAGCATCAGAGAATCTTTGGCATCATAATTGCTAATCGGAAAAGGGAATCCTAGAGGAATGGGGGAAAATGATATTTAGAAGAAGAAGAGAGAGGGAGACTAAATATTATGTGGTAGGATTGTATCTTATTAATTGCTGCTTAGTATATTCAACTGAATTTTTGCAAATAATGTACTTAGCTAAATAATACGTGTCTAGCATAGAGATGGTAATTATTATATAGCCAGATGCCTAAAAAAAAGGAAGGCGGATATATATGGAGAAAAATGGAGTCTATATGAGAAACCTGGAATCTGTTTGTGAAGTCATTGCTTTGCTTCTATAATGTTTAAGGATTGAATGTTGCTGCGGCTTTCAGTTTTTACCCCGTCCAACCTTTTTCGAATTATGGTCAAGAGTAAGTGCTTTGAACTGCAGCTGGAGTAACCGGGCTCCTATTGCGCGAAAATACGCAGTTACTCCTTTACTTCCACAACTTGCTTTCAATTTTCGCACAGGCAGTAAATCTGTTTGAGACAGTTATTTGCATGACGTTGCACACTATTGGCCTTCAATCAAACGCGGGAGTACAAATGAGTGCTTCTTAATCTCATTTAAATGATAACTTATTCTGTGCATTAGATTCAATTAACATTTTGTGGTGAGAGATTTTAGACCTTAAGTGAGAACATATACAAAAAAAATGGGTACAAACCTTCCATAGGTAACATCGCTTATTCGGTTTCGGCTTGCATAACATTGTTTATTCGGTTTCATTTAAATGAAATAAAATGTAAGTTGTATATTTTTGTAAGAGTTGTCTGTTTATATGCGCCTAATAAATAGTTGCCAGAGTATCAAAACACACATTAAAAAAAAAAAATCGTTGGTTATTTTACGGTTTTCTAGTTATGCATTTTCAGCTTGCAAGTTGATATTTACCGAGTGGACTCCTATTACCCCTTTGATCTATACTGTTTTCCTTACTTTTAGATAGATTTTATTTCTTTCTTCTGTAGTTCGACTCTTTTAGCCCATTTTTTATGTTCCTTTATTAAGTATCTGGAAACGACGGTTTTCAGGTCTATGCAGCAGGTTAAAGAAGGACAATAAAATCTTCGACAGTTTAGTAATTCTGTCATTAAACTTGAATGAAATCGTGGTATCCAGTATATTTTCAATCAACTAGCGAAAGAAATTGCTGATTATCAACTTGAAATGTAATGTAGTAATGCACAACATATTTGGTGAAAACATTGAAACAAGATACAAGCGAGTAGAAAGTTAAAAAAAATTCAAAGAAATAGCTGGGTGCTGTTAACGTCGCTGGTAGAATAGCAGTGGGTTAGCGATCTTTTGGTATTATAAATTTGAATCACTAACCATTGCACTTTCCATTATCGTATGCTAGAAATCTATATCCAACTCGGTTTATTGCAATATATATAAATTAATATATTTGGGAAATTCGTACATAAATGATATGTATGCTATTCTTTAAATCAACTTTTTGTAATGTTTTCCTTTCTAAAACTTCAATAGCTGGGCGGTTTTCAACTCTGGGAATCAAGTGGTATATTAAAAAAGAAAAAAAAAAAATGCGCACTTTATAAAGAGTGTAGATAAGTATTATTTCTGTTACAAATCAAAGGTGGGAGATGAAATTTGTCACATACATTCTTAGTTGATAACAGGAAATTAATATTTGATGTGAACATTTAGGAGGCCTTTATAAAGTCATCTATTTAGAACGGTCAAAAAAACTGCGAATTATAGCTAATCTTTGAAACCGGTGTACATTTACCAGTTTAACTGTTCGTACAGTTTTCCTACCAGACTTGTAATGCCATTGTATTGGTCGTCGGTTTCGTGGGCCAGGTATATCCATTCTGTCAACTTTACGACGCCTAGAACGAAGCTTCAGAGACGCCACAATGTATAAATATTCTGGATCAGTATTAAATTTTGAATCGTCTGTGCCAAAAAAATGGGCTTCAAACTTAGCAGAAACATTTGCAATTCTTGCAAGTAAGTTGGCAATGCAAATGGGCCAAATAGGACGATAGACACGCCTATAGTACAATGTAAATTTATAAAAGCTCGGTTTTTTACGAGGAATAAAACATTCGTTTTTTCCTTATTATCCATAAACTAGAGAAGATAAATTTAAAAAAATTTGAACATATAATCTATGAACGATACTGCAGTAACTGTATCAAAATTTCGCTGTTTTTTTTCAATTTGTTTACAACGCACAGAAACAAGCTTCAAAGACTCCATAGAGAAACTGTCCTGTTTCAAATTCAGGATACACGAAACGTCCTTCTATGCGTCTCCCCATTTGTCCACCTGTTCAATTGTGTAGCATCTGTGGTAAACATTCTCCCGCTAGCGTTAAAATGAAAATATCGCTTACAAATATACAAAAGAATTTGAACATGACTCCAATCGATCAAAGGGCACGCCCACAACGTCCACACACCTACGCGTCAACAACTTGGAGCGTCGTCACTTTTATTGTTTTTCTCTTCCTTTTTCACCTTCCTTCCTTCAATTTGTTTGATGTTAAATTTCAAATGAAATAAACTAAACGACAGAGCAACTAAGTAAAATGTTATGAAAATTGTCATGCTTCTTGTAGCAAAGCATATGAAAGTGCGTTAAAAAGGGTTTAAAGGTTTTCTATTCACCTTCGTCGAGAATTGCAAGATTTACAAGAACTATTTTTCTAAGCAATATTTTTGAATACGCCTCTATATTTTCATTACGAGATTGTGAAGTCCCAAATTTTAATAACGTGTGGTAAATTTTGCGACATACAATTCCATAATAAGATATTTGTGTACCACTAGATATGTTTTTGTTGATAAATAATGAAAGATCACATACATCAGAAGTTAGCTGGAATGAAATGAAGCATGGATGTTATACACAACGTTAACAAAATTAAAAAAAATATAAACATTGCAATAGAAATCAAGCTTGTATCGTATCACTAGGGGAGATGTACAATATGCAAATAAATTTGTATATGTTAGTGAAATATGACGGTAAGTTTTATTGTAATCATATCGAATTTTTTTCACTTTGAATATGAAAATACAGAATATTTAGAATAATATATGCTTTTGGCTCTCCCTGTACTTTTTTTAATATTTAAGTTCTTATACAAGTGCGGCTTAGATTCGGTCGTGACCAAATATAATTTTCTTACTTGTTCATATTAAATAGTTAAATCGTTTTCAATACGTTGGATAATAATAATAAGAGGTACATTTTTAGTAATTCCTAAAAAAATGTGCTACAAAATTTAATGTAATTAATCCGAAAAAGAAAAACCAATAACGTGGTTTATAGAATATTTCACGTATAGCACACAATTTTAAATCAACTGTTCGTCGGTTTAATTAGTTGCTAGTTGGTATCTAAATAAAAATTGTAAGACTGATAACAATTTTTTGTAACAATTGCAAATATTTATGTCTGCTTAACACGAACTTATACAGCCGTAGTAAAAATCAAGCTTTCTTGAACGTTTCCTAATAATTGTCAAAATTGAGGTTATTATAAAAATTAATCGGAAACGATCAAGTCTATAAGAGA